CGGCGCTTGGGTCCTGGCTGTGCGTCCTTCTCCGCCTCGTGTTCGCTCCCCCCATCCAACCAGCTCTGGTTGTCCAGCAGGTCAGGGTCATCTTCTTCTGCCCCTTCAAGGTCGGCCGGCTCAGGAGCTAGGGGAAGACCCCAAACGTTGCTGTCAACAACCAGGGAGCAGGGGGACAAACACAGCAGCGGGCATTAATGTCCCTACCAAAATTTGGTGTCATGGTACAAGAAGAGGAGGAAATGGCTCCAACCTGAGCAGCCCCACCAGCAAACCAGCTGTACTCCGTTGCCTCCCGCTCTTACCAAGCCTGAGCAGAGGGCTGTAGGAGGTAATCTGGCAGAAGGAGAGGGTAGAAAAGACGTGGCCCATCCCCTCCCCATGCTCACGGGTGGTGGGTGCCTGTGGATGGTGTTGGCATCCCCTGCACAGGGCTGCGGTTGCAGGGAAGCACGTCCTCGTGGTGGGTTCTGCTGCTGCAGGGGGTTTTTGTAGAGCCCCGGTAAAGCAACGTGATTTGGTGCAGATTATACCCAGCTACAGCACCTGTTGGTGGCTTAGGTAAGACCCATTAATTTTCTTTGCAGCAGGGTTTAACAGCAGGGACCGAGGAAGCAGAAAGGGGACAGCAGCCAAGGACAGCAGCCTCCCTTTGCATCGGGGATCTCTGATGCCCACTTGCTCCCAGGACCATCGATGTCCGTGAGCTGACTGTGGGGGATGAGATGCGCCTCTGCGGCTGCAGAATGGAAGGAGTTTTCTCGGTTTTTAAACTATCTCATTTGGATAGAAGTGGGTTAGAGACAGCGGGTAATTACGCCGGTGGATCTCAGAGGCCGCAACCTCTGCGAGGGCTGTGTAGCGAGCAGCTGGAGGTGGCAACCCCGTTGTGTGATTTAGATGCAGATGTCTGCTCATGCTCTGATGTTCATGCGGTGACAAGAATTTAGGCGTCCCAGTTTCCAGCAGCGCTGGCTTCTTTGCAGGTAAAAGGGGTTTGGTTTTTTTTTGCTTTGTTATGAGGAGGGCGGCCACTCTGCAAAGCACAGGGTGGTGGGGAGCTGGCAGAGACGAGTGCTTTGCAGAGAGAAACTTCAGCCACTGCTACTACATTGGCCATGTTCTCTCGTGGTCATGGACAACATTGTGTTCGTGTCTGAGATGTACTACGAGGCTGTGGAAATGGGTTCCCACCACGTTGCACAGGGGCAAATGGCAGAGGGGACACGGGTGGGTGGTAGGGGAGGAGACGGCTGCTTGTACCTGCTATGGGCGTGGGGTGGATCCAGTAGATGGTCACGTTTCTGCAGATGTCAAAAATTTTGGAGCTCTTCAGGAACTCCTTGTTCTGAATGGGTTTTTCCCCAGGCACCCAGACCACGGACTGCTCAAAGTAGGTGGTTGTGATTTCTTCTCCCTGGAAGAAAAGCGAGATTTCACCCTGGCATGGTGAGACACCCTCGCCCCACCGCTGGCTGCTTCTCCTCCCCTTGGCTTACCTCGAGGCACTTCTCTCCTCTGAGTGAGCAGCTGGACTTTGCCCTGGCCCCAGGATCGGGGTGCTTGCTGGGTGCACATGCAATACCCCACTGGTCCTCACGGAGGGAGACCCATCATGAGCCTCGTCTTTCCTGCCCGCTCCCAGCCAACACCACCCCGCTCTCTCCTCCCTCCATTCATCGTGCTTCAAAAGCCTTCTCCTGTGCAGTCCCCGCCATCTGGAAGAGCCTTCTGGAGCGCCCCAGTTCATTTAAAACCCAAGATTAAAACATCTCCTCTCTGCTTTGCTCTTGCTACTGCTTTTGTGATTGAACACTTTAATTTATTCCTCACAGAAATTCTTTGCACGGCCGTATTCTGTAATTTATACTACACGTCTCTGCCGCTGCATTAGTCCATGGTGTGTTTGGCAGGTGCTTAGGGAGGGAGATATATAAAGATTATTGGATGGCTCTGTGCTGAGCTATCTGCCAAGGCAAAGTTGTGTATGTTGGTGGTGGTAGCCCATAGAGCAAGTTGGCAAGTGGCATTTTTCTCTCCAGAAGGTGTCTAGAGCTGTATTTCTTTTTCATAGAGTTTTTTTGGGAAGTCTTAAGAAAGAGCTAACACAACCTGACCCAGTCTGAGTCATTTTCGGAGTCTCTGGTGAAGGCCGCGGGGTTGGGAAGGTGCTGCCTGAAGGACCTGGCAGTGCACGGGCTCTGGGAAGAGATGACTACATTTTAAATCTACGTTTATCTCATTGGGTTTTATATTTCAGCTCTCTACCTGGGGCAATGTTCTGCTAAAGACTGGGAAGTCACATCCCTTTTACAGTGGTAGCTGAAAAGATCTATTAGCTTCTTACGGCATAACCAAAGAATCGGTGTCTGGGAATTTGGGTCATGATTCAGGGAAATGTTTCTGCCCAGGCTTCGTTTCAAACGTGTCCTGCTGGTGTTTTATCTGCAATGGCTTCCTTGGGGGGGATTCAATCTGCTACCACCCTTCGTCTTGCAAACGGGGAGGCGGGAGGGCTGTGCCGCGGGGCTGTGCCACCACCGGGGGCTCAGGCATGGGGACGGGGACAGGGGACAACTGCTTTCAAGGGACTGAGCCATCACCCCAGGTTACGCTGTCAGAGAGGGCTTAAAATACAGAGTCAAACACTTTTTCCACACTGCATGCAAAGCTTGCAACTCCTTGCAGCAGGATGTGGTGGGCAAAAGTTAAATGGGTGTAAGAAGATGGGAGGAAGGTCCGTGCAGGACAGGGAGGTGGCCCCAGCCCGGCGCTTCCCACCTCCCAGGGCTGTACGCCAAGCGCTTTCTCAAACTGCATTTCTTAAATGCGGCTGCTCTTTTAAATTCATTACTTCTGCCTCATTCTGCTTGAGAACATGAAGCTCAATTCTTGGAAAAAACAATTTGATTGACTTTTTGGTGCCTGCTAATCCTGAGCTGCCTTGCGACCTTTTGACTACAACAGGATTATTGTTCTTGATCTCTGATATTGTGCCGAGAGGGTTTTGTCTGTCGGCTGTCTAATCCCGTCTCTTTCCACTTGTTTTTAGAAGCAATCCTCTGAAATAAGATCATTCTATGAAGCGATCACAACTTATTATTTCTTTATTGCGGAGTCTCCGGGAAGGCTGGAGCAGATGGGAGGGCGGTGGGGACAGCGGCCGCGCTCCCAAGGCCAGGGAGGGGAGTGGGTTTCCGCGGGGACAGAGGGGTGTCCTGTTTTATTCACCTACCTCAAGCTCGGGGATCTTGGCCTCCGTTGTCTCAGGTAGGACTTTAGTCTGAGTTTTGATGAAACATTTTTGAAGGCCCACAAAGAAGATGCCAGTTATTCCCTACAGTATCAAAACAAACACCAAAAAAGCAGTCAGGGCAAAGCGGGAGGATGAATAACCCCATCGTACGGAGGGTACAGCTGGATAAGGGTTTAGTTGTATTTTTCCTGTTGGTGTTTTTGTGCAAACTCTGTTCAGCAGCAGTGCTAAGATGTACTAACAGGTTCTCCTAAGGGATATTGGATTTTATGGTTTGGGAGAATTGGCCTTTTTGCAAATATCTTAAGGCAGATAGCCATAAAATTTTACTTTGCTCCCCTTCTTACAACTATCATGAGCTCTAGTTATCATAAATAAAAATATGCAGAATAGCATCTGACCGTTATGGTTATATGAACATTCAGCCCCTGGTTCCTGCTAGGCTATTAGCTGA